TTCTAAGGCATTATGAGTTTTTAAAGAACGCTCAATATAGCCTAGTTTTTTACTCTCTATTTCAATACTTAGAGCAATATTTGTCTATCTGTATGATCAAATGGTTTTTTAAATTTTATAAATAGCAAGTATTCGTTAGTTTTTTAATCTTTTAGATTTTGAGTTTCAATTATTTCCTTCATAACTTCAATACTTAATTGAATAGATGATGAGCCTCCTCTAAATCCTCTTTGATAGTCACCTATTTAGTCCCAAAGTAAATCTCGAGTCATTTAAATAGCAACAGCATCCATAATTCTAACAATTAAGGGCTAGATAACAACGATATAGGTCTTTTCTGGCTCAATGAGTCACTTGTTATTTTTAGATATTATCAATGCCTTTGCCTTCTCAGCAACACTTAATCTTTCAGCTGAATTAAATATTGAGTCTCTCTCATAAAAGACTTTGTCTATAAGAAGCTATTTTGAAAAGCAATCATCTGGGATCAAATCTCGAGATAATCCTTGCCCGATTTTCAAATTTTATATTCCTCTTTCTAAGAACTCTTTTAGGATTTGATCAGGCAAATTTTTTGAGTCCATGATTTTTGAAATCTCAAGACTTGGATCACTATAAATCTATCCATAATGCTTGGCATAGACTTCAACTCCTCGCCCATCTAAAGTACCATGAGCATTTTCACAAAAGTTACCATGCTTAATAGCTTTTTAAATCTTATTGTAAAATTTATTGATATCAATGTTCTTAAATCTGAGAGCTTTATCTATTTTTTGCAACTTTATTGACCAAATATTCTCTTTAAACTAAGATCGTTTTTAAAACCAATCTTTTTCATAAGGCATATTAAACATTTATTAGGGTCTAAAAACATGTGTACTAGCAACTGTCTTATAAACACTTTTTTTAATTATATAAGATGGATCTTTAGTCAGACTAAAATTATACATTCTTCTCAGAAATTGACTTACTCTCTTTTTAGAGTAAAATTCTCTATCCCCGATAAAAACCTGCTTCTTATACGTATTCAAAGCGATCAAGCATTAGTAAACTTCAGAAGCTATTCCATCATATTTCTGTCTTTTCATTTCTACTATGTCTTCTGATGTAACAAGTGCATTTATTTCATCTCTAAATTGCGGAATAATTTCTTAATTCACTGTCAATTAATCAGCCCAGTTAAAATTGTACTTTTATTTAATTCTTTGAAGCTGGTAGTAGAATTTATTGAAATTCCCACAAATTACAACCTTAGGGTTCAAGTATATATCTTTAAGATTTTTGACCAAATTTTTAAAACTTTTCCACTCAGCTTCAATGAACATATTTGCAGCTAGTACAAACAACTTTTAATTATCAATTGATATTTCAACAGTGAGTTGTGAATCATTGTACATTTCTACTAAATGAGCTTTCAATTGATACTTTACGAGAATAATGACTCCACTCATCTTTGAACTCATAGTCTTAAAGAATTAGTAACCAAAGAACTGAATATCTTGGTTCTATGAGTACTGAGTATCTGTAATTATCAATATATCTGGCTGTTGTGACTCAAGCATCTCATAGATTGTCAAAATTTTCCCTTGGATGGCTTCAGCCTTGAAGAACATGAACTTCATATTGTTTGAATATTAAACGCCCTGCTGAAATGATATTTCAGGCTCACTTGTGTCGGCGAAAGCTTGTATTTAATCGCTTTTCATTTTAATTGATTTCAAAGTTACGCTTTTATAATTTGTCGTGGGGTTTTGGGGTTTTGGGG